CTATACTCATTTGGCAGGACCCCATCCTTTTGTCTACCTATGTCACTTGTACTGATGTGCACAATGACTTCTGGCTATTCACCCTCCCCCTTCAGAATGTTCTGCAACCGCTTAGAGACATCCTTGACCATGGCACCCGGGAGGCAACGCACCATCCTGGTTTCTCTTCTGTGGCCACAGAATCTCCTGTTTGTCCCCCTCACAATTGACTCTCCTATCGGTATTGTTCTGTCTAACTGCACCCTTTTCCCTCTGAACCACAGAGCCGGTCACAGTGCCACTCACCTGACTGCTGCTGCTAGCCCCTGAAAGGTCATCCCCCGCAACAGTATCCAAAGCAGTATACCTGTTACTGAGGGGAATGGCCGCAAGAGAACCCTGCACAATCTGCCTTCCCCTCTTACCTCTTCCAGTTGTCGCCCAGCTACCCGCAGCCTGCACCTTAGGAGTGACTGCTTCCACTATAGCTCTTATCAACTTTGCCATTTAAGTAAGGTGTCAGTCATGGCTCAGAGGGAGCACACTTGCCTTTGATTCAGAAGGAGATGGGTTTGTAATAACACTCCAGAGACCTGAGTATGTTAATGGGGCGGCACGGTGGCTCAATGGTTAGCACTGCTGCCTCACAGCGCCGGGGACCTGGGTTTGATTCCACCCTTGGGCAACTGTCTGTGCGGAGTTTGCACATTCTCCCCGAGTCTGCGTGGATTTCCTCCGGGTGCTCCGGTTTCCTCCCACAGTCCAAAGATGTGCAGGTTAGGTGGACTGGCCATGCTAAGTTGCCTGTAGTGTTCAGGGATGTGTAGATTAGGTGGGTTATAGGGGGATGGGTCTGGGTGGGACACTCCAAGGGTTGGTGTGGACTTGTTGGGCCGAAGGGCCTGTTTCCACACTGTAGGGATTCTTAATTAGGCTGGCATTCCAGCTACAGTATTGAAGGACCACAGCAAAGTAAGAATTGCCCTTTGTTGGGTCTGACATTAAAACCATCTGAGAGGGCTTTAGTTTAGAGGATTCAATATTTAGATAAAGATCAGAGGAGTTCTTCTTGATGTTCTGGCCAATATTTATCCCTGAACTAATATCATTAAAGCAGCTTATTTTGTTATTCATTTCATTGCTGTTTGATGAATCTCGCTGTGAACAAATTGACTACCAAACTTCCACTATTACAACAGTGAGTGTAATTTAAAAACGTGTCATTGGCTGTAAAATAGTTTGGACAATATGAGGTCATGAAATGTGCTATATAAATGTAACTATTTCATTTATTTAATGGAAACAAAATCCAAACCTCTCTCAACATTAGCAGACACAGTTCACATATCTACAATGGTAAGACACAAGTTCATTGTTACACAATGTCAAGACCGGCTTGAGGAAGAACCCGTAGTTGTATTTCGCTTAATGAACAACAGAGGTCAGCAATGGTGCATGTAGCTAATCCAGTTTATTGCAAATATATTTTCATATCTTCCTAAGCCATGCAGAAATATGTGCATCATGCTTGACTATTGGTACGTAAACTTCTTAGTTCGAATAACTTAGATAAGAGCTGTGGTGTATTAATATCATGAGGCTATCAAGCTAGCCTCTTAACAGTCACAGTTTTACTGTTCCTGGACATTTTTTGTTTAACAAAGTTCAAAACAGAAATAAACTTTACATTTCCTAAAATAAGCACAAAGAGCTGCATTTGCTGGAAATCTGAAATCTGAGACAGGTTTCGTCATCTGATGAAGGGTCATTGAATTCAAAAGATGAACTTTTATTCCCCTCTACAGATGCTGCCAGACCTACTGTGTTTCTCCAGCACTTACTGTTTCCATTCCCTTCTTCCGTCATTTCCTAAAATATTTGGAAACCTGAAAGCTACTTTATGATAGTTTAAAAACAATACTTCTGGTTTCTCTTCCAGTGACATTGCTATGATTTAAGAGCAAACATAGGCCATTCGGCTCAACTAGACTGCTCAGCCATTCAACAACAACATAACTGTTACCTCTGTAGCCTCAACTTCACATTTTGCCTACCCTGAATACCATTTACTCCCTTGATAATCAAACATTTATCTACCTCTGCCTTAAAAGTATTCAATGAATGTGCCTCCGATGCTCTGTAGGGAAGAGAAGGTTAAAGAATCATGACTGTCTGAAAGAAAAAAAATCCTCCTCTGTCTTAAATCAGACATTCCTGATTTTCAAACTCTATACCCTAGTTCTAATCTCTCTCATGAGGGGAAGTATCCTTTCAACATCCATCCTGTCAAGGCCCCTATCAACTGTTTCCTGTAAAGTCTTGCTGGGGAAGTTGGTACCATGTGGGGAGAATAAACACATTCTGAATAATACCAATATTTTTCTGTCTCTGTTATCTTCTATGGTGAATTCCTCAAATCCTGGTCTTCTTTGTATCGTTGATATTCATCGCTCTATCATTCATTCCATGCCTTTAGATATCAAGGCCCTAAGCTCTGGAATTTGGCCCCCTAACACCCCACCGTCCCCTTTTAAACCTCTCTACCTCTCCACATTTCTCACTTCTTTGAAAACACTCACAAAATGCTACCATTTGTGCTAAGATCTCAGATTTCTGCCTTTATATATGCATTAGTGTCAAATGTTATATGGCATTTACCCTAAAATATTTTTCTACATTAAAGGTGCTATATAATGCATCTTATGGTGTTGAATATTTCTGATTCTCCGCCCCTTTCTCTTCATTTAAGTCACTCAGTAAAATCTGCCTCTTTGGCCGAGCTTTTGATTGACAGTTGGGGAGGCGATGACCTAGTGGTATTATTGCTGGACTGTTAATCCAGAGACCCAGATAATGTTCTGGGGACCTGGGTTCAAATCCCGCCACGGCAGATGGTGGAATTTGAATTCAATAAATATCTGGAATTAACAATCTAATGATGACCATGAATCCATTGTTGATTGTCGGGAAAAACCCATCTGGTTCACTAATGTCCTTTAGGGAAGGAAACTGCCATCCTTACCTGGTCTGGCCTACATGTGACTCCAGACCCACAGCAATGAAGTTGACTGTTAAGGGCCCTTTGAGCAATTAGAGATGGGCAATAAATGCTGGCCTAGCCAGCGACACCCTCATCCCGTGAATGAAAAAAGAGTTTTAATTAATTGTTCTTTTTCTGGTTCAGTGTCAATTTCTGTTTAGTTACGCAGTTGCTAGGCATCTCAGGATGTTCTGCTAGGTAAAAAGCACAGTACAATTTTAAGTTGTTGTTGGTAGTCCATTTCACAATTTATCAATCTTGACAAAATAAAATGTCCTTACAAAATATTCTAAACTTACCTTCCTTTAATTTTGCTTCAGTTCAACTTCTATTTTATTGATGATTTGGAAATTTGACGTGGGTACATTGCTTTTGCTTCAAAAGTTACATATAAGTGAATAATTAACAGAAAAAGAAAAACTACATAATCACTAATATCTGACACTGATCAAAAACAAAACCTGAAGAAAGTAATTTCAAACAGTGATCAATGTAAAATCTCATGTCACAACAATGCAGCACCATGTTACATGCGTCCCTGTCTTAGCAGGCTTGAGACATGAGCTTCCATAACCTTGTGTTATGAGACGTTTGTTCATCCATTTTGTGAATGTCTCTCTCTCTCCCTCTCAACAATCTACCATACCCATCTCTACATCTCTCCAAAACATCTCTACAGGCCTGAACGTCTCCTCCCTAGCAAAGATATCTGACCCAGAACATAAGCAGCCATGTTGGCAGTTTTCTGACTGCGATCCTCCTTATCTACCTGGTACAAGAGATTGCATATGATTCGCTGCTCTCTTCCAACCCCATCTCTCTCCTCAACAGCTCACTACACTGAGGATATAAGTGAGGCTGCAGTGGATTCTGATGGATGTAAACATCTTCAGAATACTCTATCATACTGTACTTTAACATAAAATTAAGGGTTACTGGCTTCATCAAGACCATACTCAATGACACAATGACCAATGTATGTCAGTCAGCCATTAAAAATCTTAAATATTTAAATGAATGTTTATTTTAATGATAAGTCTTGTGTATTGATTAGTGCAGAATACCCTGACAGTTTGGAAGCTGAACACTTTATTTTATAAATCAGAGTGATTGGGAGCATAGGAATAGGAGGATTCGATCTGCCTCAATTCTGTTCTGCTATTTATGAGGTCATCGCTGGTCTTAACTCCACTTTGGCTTTGTAACTCTTAATACACTTACTTAACAAAATCTATCAATCGCAGTTTTTAAATTTTCGGTTCATCTCTAGCCACAACACTTCTCTGGGGAGTCAGTTCCAAATTTCCATAACTCATAGCATGAAGAGGTAATGTCCGACATCATTCCTGGGTCTGGCTTTAGTTTTAAGATTACATCCTCTTCTTTTGGACTTCTCCCAGTAGAGGCAATAGATTCTCTCTCTCTTTGAGTAAATTAGGTCAATATTCCATGGAAATTAGAAGAATGAGAAACTATCTAATTGAAACAGAAAGAAATCTTAAGGGGCTTGAAAGGGTAGATGTTGAGGAAATGTTTCCTGGCTGAGGAATCTAGAACACAGGGGCTGTCACCAGATAAAAGGCCAATCATTTAGGACTGTGAGGAAGAGAAATTTCTTCATTTATAGGGTTATAAACGTTTGGAATTCTTTACCCCCTAGAGCTATGGATGTTCAGTTACTGAGTATATTCAAGACAGAGTTTTGCAGGTGGGAGAATTTACAGATATGGAGATAATATGAGAAGGTAGAATTGGATATAAGATCAACTATTAATTTGTTCTATGTTAGAGCAGGTTCAAAGTGTTGAATGGCCCAATCTTGCTCCTATTTCTTATGTTCCTATGTTTTATGTTCTCTACTCTATCAAATCCCTTAATCATTTCAATTGTACAATCTCTGAATCTTAGTTTGGGGAATGACATAATTTATAATTAGCATCACTATTTAACTCATCCACATGATTTGCTGTTTTACTCTTAGGAACAGATGAAGTTGCTATCATCAAAATCCTTGCAAATCGCACAACAGCACAGAGACAAAAGATAAAAGAAAAATATAGAGCTTTGTATGGAAAAGTAAGTACAACTGTGATAAGACTCAAATGAAACTTAATACATTGATGGCATGATAAATAGATGCTGAGCCAATGCATTTCACATTAAACCATACACTCCTGTTTCACACATTTTGTACCCAAATCTAAAGGAGAGATTTTCACACAGTTGAAGTAAATGGTACAAAGTAAAAATCTATTTCATTCAGAATTGTTCAAGGATTAAATTGCATTTGAATCTTTTTCATTGTTGGGTCAAATCCTCAAACTTCTTCCCTAAAATCACTATGGGTGTATCTAAATCACATGGGTTGCTCCAGTACAAAAGGTCTCTCACCACCATCTTCTCAAGGTCAATGAGGAGTGGACAATAAACCTCACATCCCACTGATGAATTTAAAAACTTGCTTTTCAACTGAGGCTATCCAAGTGCTTGTTGTCCACTTAGCCATCTACCCATAGATGATGGGTATAACCTGGGAGACTGGCAAGTTAATAATGTGATTTAATATTTCCAAAAAATTCTGAAAAGAGGAAAATCATAGTGGAATATCTATTTTTCTATCCTCTTTTCTCTAGGATATGGAAAAAGTGCTGAAAGGAGACCTGAGTGGGTGCTTTGAAAAGACAATTTTGGCCGTGCTAGACCGCCCCTGTGAATTCGATGCCAAGTTGCTGAAGGAGGCAATGAAAGGAGCTGGAAGTAATGAAGAATTGCTCATTGAGATCCTCTGCACACGGGCAAACTCAGTATGCTTGAATTTCAACTATATCTATCAGTTATATTTATTTATGAATATATTGTGACTCCATTAAATAAATTCTGTTTCAGGAAAGACAAAGACCTGCAACATAGGCTTATAGCATCTTATAGCACAGACAAACATCAATCAGTCCATTCTGTCTGTGCTGGCTCCTTGACAAGCAATTGAACATGTACACTCTGACTCTTAACCTATAAGCTTGCAACTGTTCCACGCTAGTCCACAGCCCCCACGCCCATCCCATCTTGCCTTAATGAATTCAGTGGAACCTGAAATTTCAGCCCATTACCTCTCCAGAGATGCTGCCAACTGTGCAGTTTCTAGCTTCTCCTGTTCTTATTTCTGACTCCCAGCATCTACAGTATTTTCTAGTCTAATCCATCAGATGAATAACTCCAGACATAACCAACATTAATAAGCCCTTTATTGAACATTATGTTCAGTTTGAAAGATTCCCATTGTTTGTCATTTTAGTTCTCCGTTTTACACCAATTCTGATTTCAATGTCCTTGGCCTCCTGCATGGCTCAACATTAGCACAAGGAACAGGACCCCATCTTTCAGTTAGGCACTTTACCGAAATCCAACTTAACATTGAATTTAACACCTTCAGCTCTTAACCACAGCACCTGTTCTTTCCTGAATCTTCAATAACTGCTTTTCCGGACCCATTTTGTTTTTCTTTACTTGTTCCATTGCCACCTCCTTCTGCCTTGCACCATCATTCCTTTATCTACTTTGTTACTCTCATCCTCTACTTTATCACAGGCCATTTTTTATTTTATCTGCATGCCTTTTGTTTGCTCTCCTGCAGCAATAACCCTCTCCCCGCATACGTACACCACCCTTCACAGCTAACAAATTTTCCCTGGCTTTGCATCAACTCAAAAGCTGGTCACTTCTAACTTCAACCAGATCTTGTTCAGACATTGACCTGAAATTTTAACTTTGTTTCTGTCTCCACAGAGGTGGTTGACTGGAGTTAAGATACAGTTCAGCCATGGTCTCGTTGAACAATTTGGGACAGGCTCAAGGGGCTAATCATTCCTGTTCCTGTACTGCAAGATGCTATCTGACCTGCTGTGTGTTTCCACCCTTTTCTGCCTTTATTATGTTCATCAAAAACTCTACATGAAACAAAACCTCTGAAGAAATAATTATTTGTCTATTATTATTGCTTTTCAGCAAATTACAGCCATAAAAGAAGCATACAAGCAAAGTAAGTATTACTGCTACTTTCAAAAAAAAAAGCCACTTAGATTTACTAATTAAGTAATTACATTGCAATGAAATACATGTAATTCTGTTAAAATGTCATTAAAATTTCAAATTTTGCTCACTTTTTATTTGGTGCACATGGGAAAAATTCTATTTTTATTTGGGTCAATGGATGTTATATATATCATAGTGCACAAGTATTCTGTGACCAGCTATTTATCCTGGCCCAAATTGCATGTATCAAAAGTAATCAATTTCTGGAAATTACAAAGCTTCCAGTGTCAAGGCTGCCTGTGCCTTTCAGATCACAGTATTGCTGCACAAGGGCAAACAAGTTCAAATGGCTCCAAATTTTACATCATTAATGAGTTAAGATGGTTTATTCTTGTCCTATTACCTTGCCCATGTCTCTTACAAGGATAGATTGAGGAGAGGATTCAGAGGAGATTTTAATGAAGTGTTCAAAGTAACTTGAGGTTGAGACAGAGTAAACAGGAAGAAACTGTTCCCATTGTTGGAATGAGAAACAGAGGGTACATTTTTTTAGGTGAATGGCAAAAGAACCAAAGGTGACCATGCAATGACTGGTTAGCATGTGGAATACCCGAGAGACAGAGTCAATCATGATTTTCAAAATAGAATTTTATAATTATTTTAATGGAAAATACTTGCAAGGCTAATGGGGAAGTTTGGAGGTGAGGGAATTGCATAGTCTTCATCTGTGCTGTAACCATTCTGGAAGTCAGAGATGCTGTTCTGTGATCAATTTTTGATTTACCATTGTATTCTAGATTTGAAGGGATATCAGACTGGGAGCAGGATGTTCGGAAAGTTGGTGGGTGGGAGAAAATGAACAAAATAAATGCTTTACACGATTGCCCAATGAACTTTCTCATTAACTTAAGGAAGAGGAATTCCACCCATATAATCTCTGCATATTCCTGCTTTGGAGTTTTGGAGTATCAATCATGGCTTGCACTATTTCATCAATGTTTTATTTACCATCTAACCTCTAGCAAACCAGAGCTAAACTGCAGCCAGGGATTTTTCACTGTTTCAGTGTAATTGTCTGAGCTGTTTGCTGCGTGACTTCAGTACCCTGGAGATTTGAGTGTGAAAGCACAACAGTTACATTGCTAGATTAGTGAACCATTTACATCTGTGCAGGTGAGTTCACAATCCCACCATGGCAGTTTGCAAATTAGATTCAGTCAATTGAGTAATTGTGGAATAAAAGTTTCATATCAGTGTTGGTGACCATGTTATTTAAGCAAATGACTATTTGCAATTTTACAACATAACCTCCAGATGGAGTGTGCTGATTGAGGGATAAACAATGGTCAATGGAGAATCCCTGTTCTTCAAAGTCATGCCATAGAGTCATTTTCATTCATCTAAAAAGGTAGACAGGGGCTCAGTCTAATATCGCCTCTGAGAAACATCTTTAAACCCATCTAAACATGTCTGTTCTAATATATCTGAGTGGGTGGGGAAAAGTGTAAGAAAATGGTGTGAAATGGGACAAATATATTTGAGAGTTTTGACAACCATGATGCAAGAATTCCTCAATTGAGGGAAAAGGAAGACATATCAATGTGGACAGAGAAACTGGGAGAATGGAATGGAGTATACAGGAAATGAGGTGGTGAGGAAGTGTAGTCAAGATGACTGTGGTCAACTGTGGAATTATAATAGATATTGCTCAATAGCATATCCCCAGAAATGGAGATGGAGAAGTTGGGGAAGAGAAAGGAGGAGTCAGAGATGAACCACGTGAAAGGGAGGAAAGAGTGTAAATTTGAAACAAAATCAAATTTCCAGAACTCAGCAGGAAACGCCAGTAATACAGTCATCAAGATACCGGAAAAAAGAGTGGAAAATAAATGTTCCACAGATCTCACAAAATGGCAGCCACCCAGCTAGGTCCACAGAGCAATGCCTTCATTTGGAGTTCAAGGAGAACTTGCTCAATGTGAGAACAAGTTCACGCAGGCAGAGGAGGATGATGATGGATGAGGACTACTGGATCTCTTTTAACGAAGTAGTGGAAACCCTTCAGAGCACCCTGGTGGGGAATGCAGGTTTAGAGGGATTAGACATCCATAGTGTAAACTAAATGAGTAGGGCCATGAAACTGGAAGCTGTTAAAGTAGCAGAAGGAAGAGGATATAGGTATACAGCGAATAAACAAGGGGAGGAACACACAGAATCAAGAAAGGAAGAAATTTCAGCGTAGGTGTGGTCTTAACTTGGGGAAACTCTACAAATGAAAGGGCACCAACAATTCCTTTTCTTCCACTTCAATTTAGCATCTGGATGGGTATATGAATAGAAGGGGCTTAGAAGGATATGGGCCAAATGCTGGCAAATGGGACTAGACCAGATTGGGATAACAAGAACAGCAGATGCTGGAGTCAGAGATAACACAGTATGGAGCTGGAGGAACACAGCAGGCCAGGCAGCATCAGAGGAGCAGGAAAGCTACATTTCAGATCGGGACCCTTCTTCTAGGTCAGATTGGGATGTCTGGTCAACGTGGATGAGTTGGACTGATAGATCTGTTTCCATGCTGTATGACTGTATGAAACCGTGCCTCTAATTATTTCACATTATATTTAACAGTATTGCATGTGGTAACCCTTTCTCCTTTGTCCTGGCAGTGTATACAAACGATCTAACAATTGATGTTCAAAGTGACACCAATGGCACGCTAAGGAAGTTGCTGCTCTCATTGCTTGAGGTATGGATAAGTAACACATCCAACTCATTGGCCTGATAAATATATAAAAAGATATTTAAAGTTATGAACAGTGCTTTTCCATTCACTGTGCAAATTGATAGTATAAACACTTGACAAGTTAAACATCCAATTAACAGGATAATTCATAAAACTAAAGAGATATGTCTTTTTAAAATTAAAATGGTATTATTTAGAAAAACTCCATCATAATGAACTTGTATATAGCATTGCAATATAGAATCATGGAATTATATTGCACAAAGAAAGTCACTCAGCCAGTGCTTGTGCCAGCTATTTGATATAGCTATCCGATTAGTTTGAATCTGCTGTTCTTTCCCAACAGCCTTGCAGCTCTTTTCCCCCTTCTAATATTTATCCAATTCCCCTTTGAAAATTACCACGGAACTGATTTCACCACATTTTTGGACACTCAGGAAACCTGACTGGAAAGGAACATCATTTATTGATGACCACTAAAATAGAGCTACTACTCGTGGCATACATAGGCTAGTCTCAGCCTGGGACTGACAGTTCTTCAGGCAGTTTATTACATTTTAATTTCGTTTTTGCTTAAAATATTTTTCTAATCAACCTCTGAAGCAGATGGGACTTGAACACAGGCTTCCTGGTCCAGGGACCCTCTTGCACCACAAGAGGGCCCTTTGTGTCTGCGTAGGGCTCAGGTGATGAGTTCCAGCTCGGCAGGCCGTCACCTGTTACCAAGGGAAATCATGACGAGCTCCACAAGGTGATTAATTAGTGATCGCCATGGGTCTTATGGGGGTTATAATAATATTCCAATCATAAAGTGGGGTGGCACAGTGGCTCAGGAGTTAGCATTGCTGCCTCAAAGTGCCAGGGACTTGAGTTTGATTTCACCCTCGGGCAACTGTCTGTGTGGAGTTTGCACATTCTCTGCAGATTCGCTCCAATTTTCTCCCACAGCCCAGAGATATGTAGGTTAGGTGGATTGGCCGTGCTAAATTGTCCATAGTGTCCACAGGTATGCAGGCTAGGTGGGTTAGCCATGGGAAATGCAGGGTTACCGGGATGGGTGGGTCGAGGTGGGATGCTCTTTGGAGGGACGGTGTGGACTCTCTGGGTTGAATGGCCTACTTCCACACTGTATAAATCTATTCTAAAAAAATCAACCTCCATAAAATATATTCCCACATTTCCCTCTCTGGCTCTTTTGCCAAACTATACATATAAAATTGCAGACATTGAAAGCAGTGAAGGAAAGCAACAGATTAGAAAGTCAAAACAGTGTTTCAAAGGGTAAAATAGATTCAAAATTCAGATGTAAGGCAACCAATAAAATTGAGAACAGGACTCATCCGGACTATTCCAAGGTAATGGGGCCACAGGATGAAACCAATACTGATTGATCGAGAGTCGAAAAGTGTGAAATAGTTTCATAAAAGGTCATTTTATGATTCTTAAAACATCCTAGCACTATTGTTACAGAGATAGTGGGAACTGCCGATGCTGGAGAATCTGAGATAACAAGGTGTAGAGCTGGATGAACACAGCAGGCCAAGCAGCATCAGAGGAGCAGGAAAGCTGACGTTTTGGGTCGAGACCCTTCTTCAGAAATGGGGGTGGGGAAGGGGATTCTGAAATAAATAGGGAGAGAGGGGGAGGCGCTTAGAAGATGGATAAAGGAGAAGATAGGTGGAGAGGAGACAGACAGGTCAAAGAGGTGAGGTTGGAGCCAGTAAAGGTGAATGTAGGTGGGGAGTTAGGGAGGGTATAGGTCGGTCCAGGGAGGACGGACAGGTCAAGGAGGCGGGATGAGGTTAGTGGGTAGAAGATGGGGGTGGGGCTTGAGGTGGGAGGGATGGTTAGGGAGGCGGGGACAAGCTGGGCTGGTTTTGGGATGCGGCTGGGGGAGGGGAGATTTTGAAGCTTGTGAAGTCCACATTGATACCCTTGGGCTGCAGGGTTCCCAAGCGAAATATGAGATGCTGTTCCTGCAGGCTAGGGGTGGCATCATTGTGGCAATGCAGGAGGCCCAGGATGGACTCCTCCCAGGAGTGGGGGGGGAGTTGAAATGGTTCGCAACTGGGAGGTGCAGTTGTTTGTTGCGAACCGAGCGTAGGTGTTTCACAAAGCGGTCCTCAAGCCTCCGTTTGGTTTCCCCGATGTAGAGGAGGCCACAACAGGAACGGCGGATACAGTGTACCACATTAGCAGATGTGCAAGAGGGAAAAATGTCTTTGGTAGTGGGATCAGATTGTCCCTCCCCACCCTTATCTGCTTTCCAGAGGGACCACTCTCTCGGTGACTCCCTTGTCCGCTCCATACTCCTCACCAGCCCCACCACCCCCAACACTTTTCCCTGCAACTGCAGCAAGTGCTACACCTGACCCTACACCTCCCCCCTTACCCCCATCCCAGGCCCTAAGAAGTCCTTCCACTACCAAAGACATTTTTCCCTCCTGCACATCTGCTAATGTGGTATATTGTATCCGCTGTTCCCGTTGTGGCCTCCTCTACATCGGGGAAACCAAGCGGAGGCTTGGGGACCGCTTTGTGGAACACCTACGCTCGGTTCGCAACAAACAACTGCACCTCCCAGTCGTGAACCATTTCAACTCCCCCCCAACTCCTTGGACGACATGTCCATCCTGGGCCTCCTACATTGCCACAATGATGCCACCCGAAGGCTGCAGGAACAGCATCTCATATTTCGCTTGGGAACCCTGCAGCCCAACGGTATCAATGTGGACTTCACAAGCTTCAAAATCTCCCCTCCCCCGACCGCATCCCAAAACCAGCCCAGCTCATCCCCGCCTCTCTAACCATTCCTCCCAACTCAAGCCCCAACCCCATCTCCTATCCACTAACCTCATCCCACCTCCTTGACCTGTCCATCCTCCCTGGACCGACATATCCCCTCCCTAACTCCCCACCTACATTCACCTTTACTGGCTCCAACCCCGCCTCTTTGACCTGTCTGTCTCCTCTCCGCCTATCTTCTCCTTTATCCATCTTCTGTCTGCCTCCCCCTCTCTCCCTATTTATTTCAGAATCCCCTTCCTCTCCCCCATTTCTGAAGAAGGGTCTCGACTCGCAATGTCAGCTTTCCTGCTCCTCTGATGCTGCTTGGCCCGCTGTGTTCGTCCAGCTCTACACCTTGTTATCTTAGCACTATGATGTTTCTTGAATATTGACCAGGTTATTAGGTGTCTTTCCCCTGCTGTATTTCGAAATTGTGCCATGGAATTTTCTACATCCACCTGAAAAGGTGGCAGGGCTTTAGTTTAACTTCTCACCTAAATGTTTACACCTCTGACAATAAAGCATTCCCTCAGAACTGCATCACGTTTCTGTGTAACTTGAACCTAGAACCTTGTAACTGATAAGTAAAATTGCTACCAACAAAGCCATGGTGGACACTATCAAATGTAGAGAATGCAATACAAATTGGAATGTGAATAATACTTAGATAATCAACCAGTAATTAAAAGATATGATTAAAGCCTGAAGTTGTTGAAATCAATGTTCAAACGAGAGGATTCATGCTGACACAGCAAGAAGATTAGACAATGGTTCTGATGTTTTGGTTCCATTTGCACGGACCACATGTTCCCTGTGTTATTCACTAAAACAACCCACGTCTGCCACCTATCCCAACTTTATAGAGTAAATGTACATTGAACATTTAAAATATATGCTAAACATATAGCATTAACTTGGCTAACATTGTTGGTAATTGCCAAAATACAGGCCGACCGAGATGAAGGATTTGAAGTCAATGTAAACTTGGCTGAACAAGATGCAAAAGAGCTGTATGAGGTAATTAAACATAATACAATCCAGCTTATGGACATTTTTATTGGGACATGGGTATCACTGGCAAGGGCAGCATTTAAGAGTCAGTCACATTGCTGTGGGTCAGTACTCAGACCTGAAAAGAACAGCAGGGGATACAGGTGAACCAGATGTGTTCTTTATAACAATTGATATTAGTTGCCGTTACTGAGACTAACACTCAGTTCCAGATTGAATAATTGAATTTAAATTTCATCAGCAGCCATGTGGAATTTGAACATATGTACCCACAGTATCCGCCTTGTTTCTGGATTACTGGGCCAATGATACTAACACTAAAACTATATCTCCCTTTCTATGATAAGGCATTATTAGTGATCACTTTCAAATTAAAAAATTATTACTATTTACAGGCTGGAGAAAACCGCTGGGGCACAGATGAACTGGCATTTAATAACGTTTTAACAAAAAGAAACTGCATGCAGTTAAGAGCTACTTTTAAAGCCTATGAAACAGTAAGTATCAATCTGCTGTGTCAGTTGTTCCAATTTACCTTCATATAAAACCAGTGACGACTTTAGACCGAGGCAACACAGCCTTAAAATGAGAGCTAGGCCATTTAGGAGGGAAGTTAACACTTCTTCAAACAAAAAGGGCCATTAGGAGTAATAAGAAAAGAAATAGATACTCAGTTAATAACTTTTAAATCTACAATTACCACTATATTACCTCCTCCCTCCTGAATATCTGGCATTTGTTTCCGGGTTGTTAAAATTGGTACAATCTTCATGTGACTGTGAAGAGCAACTCTTAGACAAGAAATTTGCGCTTAACTGTTATTCCCACTGGAAGTGTTCATTGCTATCTTAACTTTGAACTGTCTGACCAAAAGCAAAATTGGAATATTCATTGAGAAATTGCTGCTGGAATCAAGTTGCTGTCATGATGGTTCTGTTAATTATATTTTTTCTGATCATTCACAAGTCTTTAAGCATAAAAACGTTGGCTGACACTCCATTGCACTACTGAGGGAGGGCTGCCCTGCCAGAGGTGCTGTTGTTTGGATGTGATACCAGATCCCTAGTTACCTATTTTGGTGGATATAAAATATCCCAGGGCACTATTTCAAGGAAGAGCAGCAGAGTTCTCCCTAGTGTCCTGGCCAATATTTATTTCTCAATCAACATCACAGAAACAAATCATCTGGTCAAGATCATATTTCTGTTCATGAAAGCTTGCTGTGCCCAAATGGCTGCTGTTTCCCACAATGCCTAACCTCAATAAATATATAATTGGCTATAAAGTACTTTGAGATGCCAGGTCGTTTTGAAAAGTGCTGTATAAATGTAAGTCTTCCTTTTATTTTATCCGTTCATTATCCATTATTTGAGCCCAATAATTATTGTATAAATTTGCTAATGTTAGAATGACAAATATTGCAACTGGTGCAAATCTGAGCTAAAGATAAAAAATGCTAGAAATACCTGGCAGGCTGGGCAATATTTGTGGCGAGAGAAACAAAGCAAATGGCTAGAATTTTCCCATTTTCAGTTCAATTGTTTGGTCACCTGAGATTCATGACACCCAGTTCTCCATGGCTCGGAGTGACTTTCCAGACTTCCAATCTTCACCTCATTCATTATGCAACCACATTCTTCACTGCCATAGCTGAGCAATCAAGTGACAGGACAGGCAGAAGCAAACTACTGGCCTCATGCTTAAAGTCCATCACTTTAGACTCTGCAAGATAAGAACTGGCCATCACACTGTGGTGTTCGACCATTATCACTGATGGCCCTAAAAGGCAAGTTAGCTCCCTACTTTGTGGTCGGGCACCTCGAGACGGTGGTGGGTGGAGTAATGGAGAGGAGAGCAGTAATAGCCAGGACAAGATTTTGGCAAACTGCTACCACCCTGCAGCCCGAGGGTATCAATGTGGACTTCACAAGCTTCAAAATCTCCCCTCCCCCCGACAGCATCCCAAAACCAGCCCAGCTCATCCCCACCTCCCTAACCATTCCTCCCACCTCAAGTCCCACCCCCATCTCCTACCCACTAACCTCATCCCGCCTCCTTGACCTGTCCGTCCTCCCTGGACTGACCTATCCCCTCCCTAACTCCCCACCTACATTCACCTTTACTGGTTCCAACCCTGCCTCTTTGACCTGTCTGTCTCCTCTCTACCTATCTTCTCCTTTATCCATCTTCTATCCGCCTCCCTATTTATTTCAGAATCCCCTTCCCCTCCCTCAATTCTGAAGAAGGGTCTCGACCCGAAACGTCAGCTTTCCTGCTCCTCTGATGCTGCTTGGCCTGCTGTGTCCATCCAACTCTACACCTTGTTACCACTAGGTATCTGCTAGTTACTTGATGTTGAGATAGTGATTTTTTATCCTTGACTTATTTCCCTGACTTTCTCACCATTGCCCATGCCATATCATGCTAGGGGACAAGAAAAATCCCCCAATTGTACCATGCCAATGTTCTTTCCTCAGAATTAAGAAAAGATAGACAATGTAATAGGTTTAAGTAAGTAAAAGTTGGGGTGGGGGGAGGGTAAAAATGGAAAACAGAAAGGAGTCCTGAAGAGTCATTCGACTCTTTCCTGCTTTCTTCCCACAGATGCTGCTGGATCCACTGAATTTCACCAGTAATATCTGTTTTTGTTTTGGTACAAAAAAGAAAGTCTGTGATTGGATAGAAGACAGAGATGGTTAAATATCAAAAGAAATGATAGTGCAAGGTTTACAAATTTGTCCAACATTAACCCTTTCCATTGCTTTTACTGTAACTATTGTAATGTAGAAAATAGGGCAGCAATTTGCACACAGCAGTTTCCACAAACAATAATGAGAAGATGACTGAAATAACTCCACAGAGGCCAGTATCCCAAAGTCAACCTTCATTTACACGTGGAGAGTCCTTGACACTAATTCAGTTCGTACAGAGCCAGCTCTCAGAGTGAACAGAACTTCTGACACTCCTGTTTATATCTGTCAGCCAGGATTCCCTGATTGGACCAGATTAACAGTCCCAATTAGGGAACTCATATTCTGTGACGCCCACCTGCCTGACCTCAAAACAATCATTACAATGATAATTTGTTTTAATGACATTGATTGAGGAATAAATATTGTGCAGGATGAACAATCTAAGTGCTTTCCACCTAGTGCCATGGGATTGCTGACATCATCTGGGAGAGCATCTCATTTGAGAGACAGCACTGGCACCATTGAAACCCTCCCTCAATACCATAATGGTAGAGTGAAGCTGGATTTATTGCTCAGGTCTGTAGAGTGGGATATGAACCCACACCCTTTTGACTCAGTGAGGTTGTGTATTGAACTGGAAGTATAGTATAATTACTGACAGATTATCTAACAGAAGCTGCAGCTATACTTTCTCATTCTCTTAATTCTCTTATTTAGCTCTATGGTACAGCCATTGAGGAAGTGATCAAAACAGAAATTTCGGGCGATTTGAAGAAGGCCTATCTGACAATCGGTGAGGTTTTATTAAACAATGGTAATAATTTCGACCATTACAATTCAAATACCATGTGTGAAATGTATTTAATTTTCTACATTCCTTAAAGAAATTTCAAAGTTGTTGGTGCATTATCACATCGAGCAAACAGCCTGAAAGATCAATGCTCTGTGATGCAGAGTATCAGCATGAGTCATGCAGCAGCACAACAAGAACAGAAGAAGGCTATTCAGCACTTGAAGCCTGTACATCCATTCAATCAGAGCTGTATGTTCTCTCTGTTTGCAAGTCTTGTTTTTGTAATCCTTAATGCACTCACCTAGCAAAAATCTAACTATACCTTTGCTACTGCTTGGCTGTGTTGTGTTGACCATGACCATTTGATCCCCTAAGATATGGTTTTATTAAGGAAACAGCAGTTAAGCTCAAGGATGACTAGATGCTTTCCTCCTGATTTTGGAATAATTTATTTGTTTGCATTTTTAGTGGCAGACAAATGATTAGAGGATGTCGTTTGATGTACCAGAATTATCTAGATGATTCTTCAAACATTAGACTTGGATAGTCAAGAACAAGTGAAATATTCAGAAGTAATTTGTAATTTTAAACTCATTGTGATTATAATCAAACTCACTGGCAGGGAATATAAACCATTGATTGGAATGTTGGTTTTACGTCTTTCTGATATTTTACAAAGAAGCATGTAAATATCTCGTTCAAACCATTGGTCCATGCAAGTGTTCATGATCTGCATGAGTCTCTTCCCACCTGCTTCATCACACACTATTGACATTATCCTTTTATTCTTTTCTCCCTCATGTATTTATCTAGCTTCCCCTTAAACACATGCTACTCAATACAATTATTCCTCGTGCTAGCTAGTTTCTCTCAGAAGGTGGTTAGTGTGTGGAATTCTCTTCCACAAAGCAATGGAGGCAGAGTCATTGTATATGCTTCAAGACTGAGTTAGATAGATTTTCTTATTAATTATTATTAAGGATATGAGGCACACACGGGAAAGTGGAGCTGAGACCACAATCAGATCAAAAGCAGACCAGACTCAAAGACTGAGTGGCCTACTCCTATTCCTAATTCTTGAGTTCTTGTAAAGAAGAACTGGGTAAAGATATTTCTCTTAAGAGGGAATTCTCAACTTTGAAGTATATAAAGCTGAAGGTACAACTGTCAAAATGATTCAATCAACAGTAAAAGCTGGGAAAGAGTAAAAATTCTGAAACTTCCTCCCTAACAGCACTGTAGGTGTACTTGTATCACATGGATTGTAGCAGTTCAAGAAGACAGCTCACCAGCACCTTCTCAAAGACAATTAGAATGGCCATTACATGCTGGTTTTGCCAAAAACACCAACAGCCCATGACAGAATAAAAAAATCTGTAGTTAAAAAGGAAACTATTTGGCAGAGAAGGAGTTAGCAAGAACTGCAGATGCTGGAGTCAGGGTCAATACGGTGTGGAGCTGGAGGAACAGCAGGTCAGGCAGGATCAGAGGAGCAGGAAAGTCGAAGTTTCGGATTGGGACCCTTCTTCAGGACTGGGGAGGGGGAAGGGATCTGGGAACTAAAACGAGGGAGGACGGGTGGGTCTGGGGGAAGTTATGTGGGATGTTAATAGGCGGATGCATGTAGGGAGTAGTGGGGATTGGTCAATGGGATGGGTGGGGCAGATAGGTGGGAAAGAAGATGGACAAGTTGTGTCAGGTCAAGGAGGCGGGGATGAGAGGGATGTTTGGACAGGGGATGAGACTGGGGATGGGGAGATTTTAAAACCAGTGAATTCTATGTTAAGGCCATTGGGCTGTAGGCTTCCAAGGCAGAATATGAGGTGTTGTTCCTCCAGGTTACGTGAGGCATCATTGTGACACTGGTGGAGGCTCAAAATCGATTTGTCACCCAGGGAGTGGGAGGGGGAGTTAAAATGGTTGGCAACCAAAAGGTGTTGTTGATTATCATGTACAGAGCACATTTGCTCCACAAATTGGTCACTGAGTCTGCGCTTGGTCTCACCAATGTAGAGGAGGCCACATTGGGAGCAACGGATACAATAGACCAAGTTGGAGGATGTACAGGTGAACCCCTGTCAGATATGAAAAGTTTGTCTTGGGCCTTGGATGGAGGTGAGGGGGGAGGTGTAGGGGCAGGTGTAGCACTTCCTGTGGTTGTAGTGAAAGGTGCCAGGTGTGGTGGGGTTGGTGGGGAGTGTGGAGCGGACGAGGGAGTTACAGAGTGAGTGGTCCCTATGAAAGGCAGATAGGGGTGGGTAGGGAAATATCTCTTTGATTGTGGGGTCAGATTGTAGTTGGCGGACTTGGTGGAGGATGATATGCTGGATGCAAATGTTGGTGGGTGGTATGTGAGGACCGGGGGGACTCTGTCCCGAATTGTTGGGGGGAGAGGGTTTGAGGGCAAAAGTGTGGGAAATGCAATAGATGCGGTTGAGGGCATTTTAAATCAATGGAGGGGGAATATTGCAGTCCTTGAAGTAGGTGGACATCGAGGATGTCCGGGAGTAGAACACTCCATCTTGGGAGCAGATAAAGGTGGGGGCAGAGGGATTGGGAGTAAGGGATTGCATTCTTGCAAGGAGGATGGGTGAAAGGAGGTGTTGTTAAGATTGCTGTGGGAGTTGGTGGGTTTGAAATAGATGTTGGTGCTGAGATGGTTACCGGAGATGGAGACAGAGAGGTCCAGAAAGGGAGTGAGGTGTTGGAGATGGTCCAGGTGAATTTGATATTGGAATGAAAGGTGTTGCTAAAGTTGATGAACTGTTCAAGCTCCTCATGGGAGCACAAGGCAGCACTGATACAGTCATCAATGTAGCAGAGTAAGAGGTGGGTGAAGGTGCCAGTGTAACAGCGGAAGAGGGACTGTTCCATGTATCCTACGAAGAAGCAGACATAGCTCGGACATATGAGCGCTCATAGCCACCCCATTAATTTGTATGAAGTGGGAGGGGTTGAATGAAAAGTTGTTGAAGGTAAGGAGAAGTTCCATTAAGTGGATAAGGGTGTCAGTGGAGGGGGACTGGTTGGGCCTGTGGGAGAGGAAGAAGTGGAGGGCTTTTAGGCCATCTACGTGGAGGATACAAACGTACATGGATTGGACATCCAAGGTGAAGATGAGGTGTTGGGGGCCAGGGAAGTGAAGTCTTGGAGGTGGTGGAAGGCGTAAGTGGTGTCCCGAATGTAGGTGGGGAGTTCCTGGACGAGGGGGGAAAAGACAAAATCGCGGCAAACGGAGATGAGTTCAGTGGGGTAGGAGCAGGCAGAGTCAATGGGATGACCGAGGCAGTCAGGTTTGTGGGAAGGAGATGGAAACGGGTGGTGCAGGGTTGGAGAACGATGAGGTTGGAGGCTGTGGGTGGGAGGTCACCTGACCACAATTTGGTTACGTTTACTTTAGCGATGGAAAGGGATAGGTATATACAGCAGGGCAAGAGTTATAGCTGGGGGAAAGACAATTATGAGGCGATTAGGCAAGATTTAGGATGCATAAGATGGAGAAGGAAACTGCAGGGGCTGGGCACAATTGAAATGTGGAGCTTGTTCAAGGAACAGCTACTGCGTGTCCTTCAGAAGTATGTACCTGTCAGGCAGGGAGGAAGTGGTCGAGCGAGGGAACCATGGTTTACTAAAGAAGTTGAATCTCTTGTCAAGAGGAAGGAGGAGGCTTATGTAGAGATGAGGCGTGAAGGCTCAGTTAGGGCGCGTGAGAGTTACAAGTTAGCCAGGAAGGACCTAAAGAGAGAGCTAAGAAGAGCTAGGAGGGGACATAAGAAGCCTTTAGCAGGTAGGATCAAGGAAAACCCTAAAGCTTTCTATAGGTATGTCAGGAATAAAAGAATGACTAGAGTAAGATTAGGGCCGGTCAAGGACAGTAGTGGGAAGTTGTGCGTGGAGTCCGGAGAGCTAGGAGAGGTGCTAAATGAATATTTTTTGTCAGTATTCACATAGGAAAAAGACAATGTTGTCGAGGAGAATACTGAGATACAGGCTATTAGACTAGACGGGATTGAGGTTCATAAGGAGGAGGTGTTAGCAATTCTGGAAGGTGTGAAAATAGATAAGTCCCCTGGGCCTGATGGGATTTATTCTAGGATTCTCTGGGAAGCTAGAGAGGAGATTGCAGAGCCTTTGGCTTTGATCTTTATGTTGTCATTGTCTTCAGGAATAGTGCCAGAAGACTGGAGACCAGCAAATGTTGTCCCTTTGTTCAAGAAGGGGAGTAGAGACAACCCTGGTAATTATAGACCAGTGAGCCTTACTTCGGTTGTGGGTAAAGTGTTGGAAAGGATTATAAGAGATAGGATTTATAATCATCTAGAAAGGAATAATTTGATTAGGGATAGTCAACACGGTTTTGTGAAGGGTGGGTCGTGCCTCACAAACCTTATTGAGTTCTTTGAGAAGGTGACCAAACAGGTGGATGAGGGTAAAGCAGTTGATGTGGTGTATATGGATTTCAGTAAAGCGTTTGATAAAGTTCCCCATGGTAGGCTATTGCAGAAAATACGGAGGCATGGGATTGAGGGTGATTTAGCGGTTTGGATCAGAAATTGGCTAGCTGTAAGAAGACAGAGGGTGGTGGTTGATGGGAAATGTTCATCCTGGAGTTCAGTTACTAGTGGTGTACCCCAAGGATCTGTTTTGGAGCCACTGCTGTTTGTCATTTTTATAAATGACCTGGATGAGGGCGTAGAAGGATGCGTTAGTAAATTTGCGGATGACACCAAAGTCGGTGGAGTTGTGGATAGTGCGGAAGGATGTTGCAGGTTACAGAGGGACATAGATAAGCTGCAGAGCTGGGCTGAGAGGTGGCAAATGGAGTTTAATGCGGAAAAGTGTGAGGTGATTCACTTTGGAAGGAGTAACAGGAATACAGAGTACTGGGCTAATGGCAAGATTCTTGGTAGTATGGATGAGCAGAGAGATCTCGGTGTCCATGTGCATAGATCACTGAAAGTTGCCACCCAGGTTGATAGCGTTGGTAAGAAGGCATACGGTATGTTAGGTTTTATTGGTAGAGGGATTGAGTTTCGGAGCCATGGGGTCATGTTGCAGCTGGTGCGGCCGCACTTGGAGTATTGCGTACAGTTCTGGTTACCGCATTATAGGAAGGATGTGGAAGCATTGGAAAGGGTGCATAGGAGATTTACCAGGATGTTGCCTGGTATGGAGGGAAGGTCTTATGAGGAAAGGCTGAGGGACTTGAGGCTGTTTTCGTTAGAGAGAAGAAGGTTAAGAGGTGACTTAATAGAGACATACAAGATGATCAGAGGATTAGATAGGGTGGACAGTGGGAGCCTTTTTCCTTGGATGGTGATGGCTTGCACGAGGGGACATAGCTTTAAATTTAGGGGTGATAGATATAGGACAGATGTCAGAGGTAGGTTCTTTACTCAGAGAGTAGTAAGGGCGTGGAATGCCCTGCCTGCAAAAGTAGTAGACTTGCCAACTTTAAGGGCATTTAAATGGTCATTGGATAAACATATGGATGATAATGGAATAGTTTAGGTTAGATGGGCTTCAGATTGGTTTCACAGGTCGGCGCAACATCGAGGGCCGAAGGGCCTGTACTGCGCTGTAATGTTCTATGTTCTATGTTCTATGAGGTGATGAGGTTACTTGATGGTCTGAGAGATGATGGTTTGGTGGTCGAGGTTGGGGTCATAATTGAGGGGAGTGATGGGAGGAGGTTGGCACCTAGCCTCGGCAATGTAGAGGTCAGTGCGTCCCCTTTATCCGTGGGTTTGATGGTGAGGTTGGTGTTGGAGCAGAGGTTGCGCATTCCATTGGGGAGAGATTGGAATGAGTGAGAGGGCTGAAGAGATTGAGGTGTTTGATGTCACACGACAGCAGTTGGAGATGAAGAGGTTGATGGAGGGTAGGAGCCTTGGGGTGGTGTCCAGGAGGATGGGGTTTATTGGAGGCAGGAGAAGGGGTCAGCAAAGGGTGAGTTGGATTCCTGATCAAAGAAATAGACACAGAGGTGGAGGTGGCGGAGAAAGAGTTCGACATCCAAATGTGAACGGAATTCATTGATGTGTGGGCACAGGGGAATGAAGGTGAGTCCTTTGCTGAGGACTGAACATTCATCCTCAGTGAGGGGGGGAGGTCTGGGGGGGTGGGGAATTTGGCAGAGAAGCTGCTCAGCAATACAGACTGGGGAGCTGCCAACACAATAGTCAGGTATCATCATGCCGATAGTGGATGGAGAGTGTTCAGGCACAAAAAGCAGAGATAGCTAATCCACACTTATCAGCAACTGCGTAATCATCTTGACAAGAGTACAGAGGCACTCTCATTAGGAATGGGGACAAAAGCATGCTCTGAAAAGGACATTCAGGCACTGTAGGAAGTGCTAAAAGATTTCTGAGCATGATAGGTAGTAGCTCGGAGGAAACATCGAGTAATTGATCGGAGGGTTTTCTCTGGAAAAGAGAAACTGAGGCGTAGCCTGATAGAGGTCTTTAAATTTATGAAAGTGTTTGTTTAGAATAGACATAGAGGAGAAATTTTCACTTGCTTTGGGGAAGGGGGTGGGTCAAAAATAGGAAACATAACTATTATCGCTTACGACAGAGCTTGATTATTGCTGAGAAGAGAGACAAGTTGCTAAAACATTTTGTCTTGCACTCAACAGGACAAACTCAAGAATGCCAAGTTTCAAACAAGCACAATGATTTATACTACTCCTATAGTGTAATTTTTTGCTATTGCTTGAAATTTGGCATTTTTGTGTTTGTTCTGATAAGTGCAAGATGATCAGCTGTGGCGACGTGAATCTCTTTTCAGCAATGTTCAAAGTCACAATATAAGACAGTCACCCATAAATTCCATAGGTATTTCAGGAGAGTGGCAAGAATGTGAAAGTCACTTCTGATGAGGAGTTGGAGTGATTTGGTGGAGGTTCCTTCCAATAGAAAGCTAGATAAGTCCATGAGGGAGATGAGAGAGAAAAGAATAAAAGGGTATGCTGATAGACTGAAAACACAAGAGGCTGATGATTCCAATTGCAGGGAAGCGATAGGGAAGTGCTCTCAGATGAATGGAAAAGTTCCCATGACACCGTTTTGAAGCAGAATCAGTGGGGTTCTCCCTGGTCCTAGTCAATGGTGATACCTCAATTACACCGGGCGGCACGGTGGCTCAGTGGTTATCAGAACCAGGGACCCAGGTTCGATTCCACCCTCAGGTGACTGTCTGTGTGGAGTTTGCACATTCTCCCCGTGTCTGCATGGGTTTCCTCCAGGTGCTCTGGTTTCCTCCCACAGTCCAAAGATGTGCAGGCTAGGTGGATTGGCCATGCTAAATTGCCAGTAGTGTTCAGGGATGTGTAGATTAGGTGGGTTATAGGGGGGATCGGTCTGGGTGGGATGCTTCGAGTGTCGGTGTGGACTTGTTGGGCCGAAGGGCCTGTTTCCATACTGTAGGGATTCTTTGATTCTAACCTAAAGATAGGATTATCTGGACATTATTACATGGCTATTACTGGGATCTTGTTGCATATAAATTGGCTACCAAATTACAACAATGACTACAAATCACAGATACTTAATTTTGCTTTGGAATATTCTGAGATCATAATCAACACTATATAAATGCTAATTTATCTTTTGCAATTGCACATGGCAATAGAGGTTTAAGAAGGAATTCACCTAGTGTACAGCCAGCGTCTTCAGACAGTTTTAGTTAAAGGGGAGGCAGTGGCATGGTGGTAATGTCATTGGACTAGTAATCCCAAACTCTAGGCTAATGTTCTGGGGAAATGGTTTTGAATCCCACTATGGCAGACAGTGAAATTTGAATTCAATAAAAATCTGTATTAAAAAGCTGGAATATAGCACTAGCCTAATAGTAACCACGTAACCACTAATGTCAGTTACGGAAGGAAAACTGATGTTCTTACCTGTTTTAGCCTACATGTGACCCCAGACCCACAGAAATGTAATTTCTCTTAACTGTTTTCTGGCCAGTTAGGGATGGGTAATAAATGCTGGCCCATCCTCAGTGTCCACATGCTATAAACAAATAAAACAGAAGTATGAACTGTCAAATTCCTAACTTTGTATTGTTCCATTTATGCCCACCAGCTCAATGCACAAAGGACTGTCAGGCATATTTTGCCGAGGTGTTACATGAGGCAATGAAAGGAGCAGGAACCAATGAGGACACATTGATTCGCATTGTGGTATCTCGCTCAGAGGTAACATGGAGAAACATTTTGCCTTATTTATAGCAGAAATATGGAATACTTATGAGAAGAGCTTTCATTGGCCTATATGCAAAGTCCTCATTAAAATGTGAACTATTACCAGTTAAATCAGTCAGCAGGAAAATTACCAACAACAAACTGTGAGCAGATTCTTCAAAAAATAATAAATTGACTTCTGATTCTTGAATACCAATGTTTTTCGCTTGAGCTTCCAGTTGCCTGTCATTTTAATTCTCTGCTTCACATTTATACTGACCTCACTGTCTCTGGCCTCCTGCCCTACTCCGATGAATCTCAAAGTAAGCTCGAAGAACAAGACCTCTTCTTTCAATTAGGCGCTTTGAATCCTTCTGGATTTTACACTGAGTTGAACAAATTTCAGAGCATAACTTCTGCCCCCTTCTGTTTCAGACAGCAGATGCTAGTCATGTTTCTGGTATTGCTACTTACAATCCCTCTAGTCACAAATTTCATTTCTTTACTTGTCCCATTGCTGTCTCATTTTGCCTGCACCATCTCCTGTCTTCCACAGACATTCACACATTATTTTCTTCCCACTCATTGACTCTGTTTAAAATCTGTTATATCTCAACATTTTTTTAGGTCTGATGAAAGGTCATCAACCTGGAATATTAATGCCGTTAATCTCTCTCCATAGATTCTGTCTACCTTGTTGAGTATTTTCGGAATTTTCTGTTCATTCCAGATAATTCTCATGCTGAGTTGTAAAGTCTGTTAATTATTCAATCATATGTAGAGAGGTATTGTAGATGTCAGCATACTAGTCAACCTTTGAAGCCCTGAAAAATCCCTCTAAAATGGGGATTGAATTACACACTGAGTACAAAACTGAAGCACTGGCATGGGTTTGAATAGTCTCCAGTTTGAAACATGATAAAAAAGTTCCAGTAATTCATATAAATTTAATTTGACACTGTTTATAAATTAATTGTACAAATTAATCCCCGTTTTCACACTCTGGAGGACAAACATTAACTTTACTTGTTTTCTCTTTTTCTTTATAACTACCTGTGGAAATTCTTACTATTTGTTTTTAAATTCCTAGCTCCTCTCATATTCTGATTTCTTCCTCCAGATTTACCTTTTAATCATTCTCTGCAATACTTTTTAGTCTGATCAATCATCTCACCCACCACTTATCCTTATGGTACTGATATGCTTTTTGCTTAAGCTTTCTGTTTTCTTTACCATCTTCAGTTATCCACAAATGGTATTTATAACAATGTTGATAGGCTTCGTACATTGTATTAAAAAACTGAATTTAATTTCTTTCTCTGACAGGTTGATCTTCCATCCATTAAGGAGAGGTATCAGGAGATGTACAAGATATCTCTAGCAGAAGCAGTCAAATCTGAGACGTCTGGTGATTTCCAGAAAGTTCTGCTGGCCTTGATAAAATAAAAGGCAATCAATCCTGGGACACTGTTTGAATCAATAGGTGTCCCCTGTTCAGTAACATGCAATGTACAAGCCCATGTTGCTTATAAGATTTGAAATGGGCATCAGTATGATACTAACATAAATTATTGCTTTCTAAAAAAATTGTGAAGTTATTTCTTTCGGGGAAAAATAATGAACCAATTAGAACAAATACTTGAAGGGTACTTTCATGAGATATGAACAGAGACCTGAAGGGTGGTACTAGTTGAATAGCTGTACTAAAGAATCAGCACAGGCACAATGGGCCAAATGGCTTCCATTCTATACCTTAGAACCAGGTATTTCAAATCATTCATAGAGTCTGATTTGTGGTGGCAATGTACGTGTTGTCGTTTAGAGTCATAACAAGGTAGAGGCTCTATGTTTCTTTCCATCACATGGCTGACCAGGAATCTCTCCTGTTCTTACCACCTGCCATTGTTGTGTATTGGAAGAATTTGTAAATTGGTAAAAACTGAAAGAACTGCAGATGCTGGAAATCAGAAACAAAAACAAAAACTGCTGGAAAAACTCAACAGGTCTGGCAGGGTCTGAGGAGAGAAATCAGTGACCTGAAATGTTAACTTTGATTTCTCTCCACAGATACTGCCAGGCCTACTGAGCTTTTCCAGCAATTTTTGTTTTTGTTTTGCAAGTGGGTTCTCAATCTGCTTGGCCACTTTATGAACACACTTTTCTTAGCCATCCAGTCCTTGGGTGAGACTGAATCCTAAAGTTTTTGGCTTAGGGGCAAGGACACTACCCACTGCACTATATGACCTCTGTTTAGAAGCAATGTACATCAATTCAATTGCTTTCCATTTTAACAGCATTAATTGTAATGTTTTCAATATTTGAAACTCAATGTTGTGTATAACTCAATGTTGAGAAAGACACACAACGCCATATGGTACATCAATAAGAAGCATAATGTCCAATGCAATATTGGTTCCATAAGTTTAATTTGCTTGAAATTCTGAAAAATGTTTGAAACCTCAGTTCACCTCTAGGACAGATTACTGTTTAAAGGGAATCTGTCTTCTGCTCAGTTGATAACACAGTCATCTCTATGTCAGACATTTGTAGGTTCAAATCCCAGTCCAGGGAGTACCCATATCTAGATGGATATTCCAGTATAATACATAAAGCCAAGGTCCCATTGGCCTTTCAAATGGATACAGAAGATCCCATGATGCTATTTCAAAGAAGAGCAGGAGAGTTCTCCATGGTGCGCTGGCCAATATTATTCCTTAATCAATATTGCAAAAACAAAGGATCTGGATTTTAGTACTCCGCTGGTTGTGGAACTTGGCTGTCTGAAAATCAGCTGTCGCATATCCTACATTACAGTAGATGCCATACTTCAAAATTCATTGGCTGTAAAGTGCTTTCAACTGTCTCGTGGTTTTGAAACGTGCCATTGAAATGCAAGTCTTCCTTTCAGGGCCAAATGCAAATGCGTCCTGCACATCTACAATGGTGTCCAGCTTCAACCTACTTCCAATTTTCCCACACAACTTAATCGTGCGAGGATGCAAAGATGGCTGTGTCAATGCTACATACTGACGCAGTATGAGGCATTTTTATGAGACTGAGGAGAAGAGTAAAGTGAGCTTTATTCTGTGATTGTCCTTTTTTTATTTTCTCTGGCCTCAGGCTGCTCAAATTTGAATGTGTTTGTGCAAAATGGGAAAAGTGTACCATTCTTTAATCCTAAATGTACCAAATGTTCAGAACTCAGAAAAGCTAAGAGATTTTAAAAACTTGTTTGATTGTTGACTTTGTTGAAAAGTTTCTACTTTCTTGGATGACTGAAGCTCCAGCAAAAGCTCAACATCATCCTGTACTAACCAGCATACTTGATTAGCACCCTGTCCACCACCTTCAACATTCATTCCCTTCACCACCGATATTGGAATCATTGAATCCCTAAAGGGAAGAAAGAGGTCATTCGGCCCATTGACTCTGTACCAAACCTCCAAAGAGCATCCCACCCAGACCCAGCCACTCCAAGCTATCCCCATATTTACAATGGCTAACCCATCTAGCCTGCACATCCCGGGACACTATGGGGCAATTTCCCATGGCCAATCCACCTAAACTGCACATCATTGGACTGTAGGAGGAACCCGGCGGAAGCCCATGTAGACACTGTCCAAATAGACAGTCAGGCAAGTTTGGAATCAAACCTGGGTCCCTGGCACTGTGAGACAGCAGTGCTAACCACTGAGCCACTGTGCTGCCCTCAGTAGTTAGTACTGAGTGGCAACAGCGTGCTCTGTCTGCAAGATGTGTTGCAGTAACTCACTAAGGTTCCTCCAAACCCACAACCTCTACCACCTAGGAGGACAAGGGATGTGGATACATGAAAAGTGCAAGGTCTAACTGCAAGATCCCCTACAAGTCACACACCAACCTGACTTCAGACTATATCACCATTCCTTCATGATCACATGGCCAAAATCTTGGGAACTCCTGTTGCAATAGCACTGTGGATGTACCTACAACTCAAAGACTGTAGCAGTTCAAGAAGGTGGCTCACTGCTACCTTCTAGGTTGGAATTAGGAATGACAATAAATGTTAGCTTAGCTAGTGACGCCCACATCCAGTGAATGATTAAGAAAATATTCAGTTTTACAAAAAAATGACTGATGATCCATTATAGTCTTTTTCTTATATAATATGGTTTCATTTTGACACAAATTGTATAAACAGAAATGAAACCCACTCTAATAAACTATCTAATGTTTATCATGTCATAAATATGCTTATTCAAACTGAGTCAGAGATTCTGACCAGCATGCTTGCCAGTCAGTAGTTTATCAACATATTGTGTGGATGAGTTGCTTTATTTTCATGGATTTTCCACATCAAACTGAAAAATTTTCCCATTGTCACTGCAGTTTAAGCCACATGCACCTGTTGAGTGGGTCCAGTGAGTGATTTGCTCTCATCGCAGCTCAATACCAGTCCAGCGTCTTTTCTCAGTGAGAAACTTGCTTTGTAAAATCTTATCCTGATCCCGAAATTTAGTGATATAAACATAAGTTGGACTTGTTTAATCCATGGAGCAATCCAGACAAGCGTCGGACGTCTAAATATTTATGCAAACTTACCGCAGAGAAATAACACACAGATCATATGAAGCAAAACAGCAGGTCACAAGGCTTCCCCTTTGTTGATTATTCCCTATTTGTTCTTCTGTGTCTTCTCCAGGATATGTGGATGAGAACGGGTGGCAAAGGTTGGAGGGTGAAAAATAATAAGTTAATGGATTCTCACTCTGTGACTATTTTGTGTATTCTACTATACATTTTGAGAATGAAAATTAACAGAAACTGAGGATATTATGATACATCAGAAAATAATATAGTCACAGGTGAAGGCTTACATGTCCATTCTGCTATTCAATAAGAACAGATCTGTACCTGTGACTACACCCCACACATACAAGCATGTACAAAACTAAAAATAATTTTAAAGGAATTCACAGTTCAGTATGTTTGCCAATTCAGAGATGACTGTAACAAGAGCTTACTTTAGTTTTCTGCAAAAATTCCAAAGCTTCTGGAAATAAATGCTATGTGGTGTGATGGACACCAATTCACTGAATTCCTTTGACAAAGATTGTGAGCCTTTTTAGGCTGGAGGGGAGATCACCCTGTGCAAAAGCTAGGCCCAAAACGTCAGCTTTCCTGCTCCTCTGATGCTGCTTGGCCTGCTGTGTTCATCCAGCTCTACACCTTGTTATCTCTAATCCTAAAGTGTTAGGTCGAGAGTGAGATATAGGACTAGTTTTGATCATCTAAGAATGACAGAGTGGAATTTTCCAGACTTTTTGGTCCCCAAAATTAATCTTTTTCTAAGCTGTTTTTTGTTGAATTTGTTGTGAAAGTTAGCTCAACAGCTAATGGTAGGGATAGATTGCTGTCACCAACTTTCTACTCTTTTAAATTGACTAAAATGGTTTCAATCCTAAACTTGGTAAAGGGTCTATTTATTTGACAACAGTCAAGGATTAATTGCTTATGAGTCTTAATGAGAAGATGTCTTCCTAAGATGTAGTTTATTATATAATAGCAAGAGATAAATATTACATTGGCTAAGTTAGATATGATAACTAAGGCTATGAGGCAAGGGGCTCTTGTGGTGTACTGGATGAATCCCTACCTCTGGGCCAGAGGCTGTAGGGTCTTGTCCCACCTACCATAGGTATGTGTCATTACTTGTCTGAATACATAGGTTAAAATATCTAAGATTACTAGGAGACACTGATTGTACATCATTTCTCTATCAGGATTTTAAGCTCGATTACCCTTTTCTCTGCCTCAAACTGTGCGATTTCATCAGATTAGATGGAGCTAAATGTAGTCTCCAACATTAAACCTTTCACAGCCATTATCTTATACCAGAGTTTTTTTGCCTCTACTTGGAGATCACTCAACATTTGGGTATGACGTGAGTGTTGTATTGTGATACAGAGCTTGTCTTTTCCTGCTTCTTTCTTCATGACAGCTTAATTGACTACATTACCCATCTGTGATCTCTGTGCCCTTCCAGTTTAATCCTTTTGTGCATCGCCAAATTTTGTTATTCCACCATGAGTGGCAGCTTCTTCAGATGACTGGGCCCCAGCCTCTGGAACTCCCTCCCTAACCTCTCTGTCTCTCTTAAGATGTTCTTTTAAAATGACCTCTTTGACCAAGTTCTTGGTCACTTGTCACAAATTATTGTTGATAGTGTTCATTTATTGGGACATTTTCCTGTAGTAAAGGCACAATACAAATACAAGTTGTTGTTAAACCAGACTTCTGCCGATGTCTGTTTGATGTGGTGAGTAAACATGGCTTCTGCCTATGACCTTTGTTCCACCCAAGATTACCTCAGTTGTACATGGCGAAAGGCAGCAGCACACAGATATTATTCCAAACATTCCCCCTTTTCATAAAAAAAATACATGCACTTTCATTTGTAGTTGATAGTTACTCATAGAGATGTTCTATAAAGAAATTCATCGCAGCAAACAAAACACTTTTCATTCTAATCTGTCTCATTTTTGTCTGTCTTGATGCACACATTACAAACATACTCTTCAAAATGTTCAGGCTTTCTAATAGTACCCAAGCAGGTTTTGTTGGTTGTTTGTCTGGTGTCTGCTGGTTCCTGGGGTGCTACTGTATTCCCAGGGAATGTCATTGCTGTGGTAAGCATTGCTTCTGCTCTGTTGCATTTGGTAGGACTGGTGGTCTGTCTGTTTCCTGTTCAGTTGGTGAAATCAGATCTGTGTCATCAGTTATCTATTGCAAACGAGCAACTTCTCCAGTTATATATGTGTGCCCACATTTGCAGCAATCGATCTGATCACCCATTTTCTAACATCAGTGTTAGTAAAACTATTGGAAACAATTGTGAGAATTAATCTCCACTCAGACAGGCAAGGATTAATCAAAGATAGTTGTATGGCTTTATCAAGGGGAG